GTTTTAAAGGCAGCATCGCTGCGGCCTCGCGGCCATCTTCTACATCATTGTCAGCCCTCGTGTCGCAGCGACCAAGGCAGTGACACTCACCTCCTCCCAAGGTACAGCAACAGCTTAAAGGATGGACGATATGGTCTCCGTAGACGTTATGAATTACACTGTGGGAGCCTACGTTACTCGTGTTGAACGTGACTTCGGCCAAGCTTCCAACCGCCAGAGAATGGTCAGACTTCCAGAAACCTAGAGCAGACTGATTGCGACCACACCTCGAGGTAGATGTATCGATGGGACTACTGCTAGCTGTCGAGGACTCTGCCTCGTTTGCTTTGGCGTCGCGGAAGCTCATGGCGGTGGGAAAGAAAAAGGGTCGATGTGATGCTGTGTCAAGGTCGTAAAGAGCACGTGCCGTTTGTCCATCGCAACAACCCCCATACCAAGCATTATTCGAGGGCGGAGCACTCAACGACTGCCTCCACACACGCTATAGCTCATTACTTCTTGACATCACAACGACCCAAAAGATAGTTGTGCTCGGGCTGCTAACAACGAGCTCGCTATAAGTCACTAAGAGGACTAAACTTGGGGAGGCATGGGGCGGATGGTGCTATGCTGACAAGAATAGAGCAGAATAATGATGGAGTTCGGAGGGATGGAGGCTAACAAATAACTCGGCACCGAAACGCAGAAAGGAGCATGCGAAGCGAGCTGGCATCAAGAATACAATAATATCACTGCGGATGATAGAACGCGGAGGAGGCACTAAAAGGGGCTGGTGTAGAAAAAGGAGGCGCCGAAAAAGCAAAGAGGGCTGGCATAGAAAAGGAGGGAGAAAGGAGGCTGACAAAAGGATGTAAAGGAGGCGAAAAAGTGAGGTTTGCTGAAGGAGGCTAGCGCGTGTGTCTCGCGGAGGAAACCGTTAAAGAGGTAGATGGATGAAATAAGTCGAAGATAAAAATAACGCGCCATCGACCGCAGCGCACGAACGGCCTCCACCGTCAGCGCGTCAGCCCATATAAAGTAACACCCTTTTATTAGTCTCCGGCACCTGAAGAATGTCCCAGATTAGCTTAGACGGATTCATAAGCGACGCCGATATAAAGCAAAAGAACAAAGGGGGCGATGCAGTGCGGCTGACCCAAGAGCCGACGAAGAGATTTGCAAAGAAGAATGTCAGGACAGGCGGCGGGCATGGACAGGGGTTGAGCAAAGCTGACGAGGAAAGTGATTAAATGGGGCTGATAGGTAGAGCGGGTCACGAGAAGAGTAGGCGGGGAAAGGAGAATATGAGCTCGAGGCTGACATGGGACACGGAAGATTGAGAAAGGCGGGTGAACGAAATAAGTCAAATACATTGTGCAATGCACGAGCAGCATACTTTCATTAGTCCCCCGTGGTTACAGGATGAGGAATAGTGAGGCGCCATACCAGCTGGACAGTTTGAGATTTCGAATCCCACCTCTAAGCCCACTCATCCACGTCATCACTTCGGACTCCCAGGACAAGGCACGCACATCTTATCGATATTGAAGGTCATCTCATCCAACTTGCACTTTGCTCCCTGCTTGTATCAAGAGTGTACACGCAACACCAAAAAAAACGGCAAGATTGGGCTCCACTCATCATATGTCATCCTGCCGCTTGAATACTAGAAGAGTTGAATTCTCCAGTGCTCGATATCCAGCAGAAAAGATGGCATCGCCAGGCATTTAGAAGGTCCGTGACCGATTGAAGCTAGGAGTCAGGACTGTTGGAGTTGTCACAGTACATCTTTCGGATATGGAAGCACCACAGCTCGTTAGTTGGAGGAATTAGAGTGAAGATCCGCCGGTGTATGGCAAGCACTTGTGGTCAAATTGCGTTGAAGTGAACGTTCTTCCGAAGTCATCGCCAATCTTGGCGTGGGAACCCAGCTTCATAGTTGCTTCCAAGTCGCTTCCACGCTACTTCCATGTTTCTTCCTCTTCAACGGCTGTCATTTTTCTCGCCGCAACCCCATCAAATACGAAATTTCTCTTACATTCAGCCGCCTTCGATCTTCTAAGTTCTTCAACCCGGCCCTCAGGATCAACCTCCGCTCCGTTCCCGCTCACAGCCTATACGAGTTTTCTCCAATGGTCACCTTCGATATATCATTCTTGTAACTCTGCCTTTTTTTTTGCTCCGCACATTTTTTGTTTGGAATAGAGTCCAATTCGATTTCATGACTTCATTCAAGCATCATACCCGCTATCACGGTGGTCCTGGGGGCCTTGATGAATTCTGACAGTGCTTTCAATCATGCATCAACCACAGCCCCTCTGCGTATCTTATCTCTAGCCGGCATCCAATATATGCCACATATGGCACCTTCACTGCTTTCTATCACGCTCTTCATTGATCCACTCATCGATTTATGCACTCAAACGAGCATCATGAGCGTCGGGTACCGGAGAGCATCACCGCTCATCCTCGCTGAACTGAGCGGAACGGCCTAGCTCGGTCGATCGGGTGAGCGCAGCGAGCACACATCAAGGCACGATGATAATTGACTGCAGAACACGATGTCCGTACAAGTATCCTACTTGTAACTACACTGTCCGATGTCCGATGCTGAAGCCTGAGTACATCGCCATCGCAGTATAAACTCACCTCTTTCGCCACCATCTTCGTGCTCTTCGTGTCTATTGCTGTCACCGCCCCAGTCGAGAAGATGACTGCATTCTCTTCGCGATACTTCTATACGTCGTTCTGAGAACGTTATTCGAGAAAAGGGAGGTTGCAATTAGTAGGGGTGCGCGCCGTACCCATATAACAGGCATGCCCGTACTTTATACGGGTGAAGGGCGGTGACGACCAGTAGCCTGTAGGCGATGCTGACCGTATACTGACAGACTTATAGCCTAAGTTTCGATTGGAGCGGGTACGGGTGGTTATAGTAATAGAGCCGTCAATGGTTGGTACGACCGTAAATTACAGCTAAAATACAAATGTATAGTTAGATAGCCTTATAATGGCTTTGTATATCGACCTATCTAAGAGCTAACTACGCCCTTAACTACGGATAATTATATTCAGAAACCTCTCAAGAACCTCTTGACGCGCGATAGCACATATCCCTGTCGACATCGGTCCTATTTTCGATGTGCCACAACACCGCCGACCTGCAGCAAATCGTCTCAATCTCAACAACGATACAGTTAAGGGACATTCTGGTAGCATAATAATTGAGTATGAAATAATTAGAAGATAATCAAATTGCCTACGTGAACCACACAAATTGCTAGACTTAGTCAGAGCCTCATTTGCCCGTACAACCGCGTGGTGCCCGTATAGAGCGGTATGGTGTACTGGTCGTATGGTACCTCAATATCCCGTCAGTGGTTACGGAAGAAAAATCGTGAGCTGCCGCCGGGACGGGTACGGCCAACATATTGACGGTCCCGTATATACGACTGAGGACGGGTTACAGCGCACACCCCTAGTTGCAATTGACACTGCCTACGACTGCGCACTTTACTTTTGCTCGTGGTAATTTCATATCGTGGTTGACCTGGGTTATAAACATCCAGAGCCAATACGCGTATATTTGATGTGGCTCCGCTCATCGGTGTCGATCTCGAGACGGCGCAGCAGTTCATTCCAGCTGAGCGGCGAAAGGGAAGCCTTCCACCCACCATTCCTTCCAGCCATTCCAAGAGCTCGAATCCAGACTCCACGTCGGCATCCAGATGTGTTGTGTCAAGGTTTATCGGCTCTCGTAAAGCACAGGGGACGTGGAGGAGGTGTCCAAGTCGAGCGTATGAACTGAAACATATCCTGCAGTATTTCCGTACTGTCCTGCTAAATGATTCTCTGTTGTTAAGGCCGGGATACAGGCCATTTTTCCATTTTCGGAACGAGATAGCACATGCGTTATCCCGAGCATGGTTATGTAGGTCTTTCTCGAGGTAGAGGTCTGCGTCCTCTAGGAAGTAGAATAAGTAGCGCACAGAGCGCCACGCAAGTGGAAGCCGTTGGACGTCAGCTAGCTTGCAGCTAGCCATCATCGCGTGGGTAGCGCTGCAGCTGGAGCCTGAAGAGCTTTGTATCAAATACAACATTAAGATCGGATTCGCGCCATTCGCGCCAACAACATGGAAAGAAATTCACCATGTGATTCGCAATTGCCGTTGTTGTAGCTTCGGGCGCACAGGTGGGCGTCTGGAATGTCAGTGTGATGCCAGCAGATTGTTATGCAAATTGAAATAATGTGTTTACTTACGAGGCTTGACGCACGCACATATATAAATTGTTCGGCCAGACGGTGCAGTAGATCAACTGAAGAAGGTCATCTCTACCGAATCCTGCACTGCTTTTGCATACGATCGGGTGGTTTGGCGGGGTGGGTACAGGCTGAGATAGTGCCTGGTCTCTCTGACGACGTAGTCGTGGTTGTCATAATCTATCCAACGATACTAATTGTCAATATTTACAAACAGCAAAAGCAGCAGTGCCTGTGGGAAAATTAAACGCACTCGATCATCACCCCAGAATCACCACCACTTATTTCCTAGACACCATCTTATGTCCATATTTCAGTGGTTGTTCAGCGGTGTCTCTGGGTAGCAGTGGAGGGTAAATGGAAAGTTGACGAGCCAATCTGTGACCCGAGTAGCAACTAGAGTGATAGATTAGCCTAGAAGGAAAGCAATTTCAAGCCAAAGTGGACGCATTGAATGGGGATAAAGCTGGAAAATAGGGACAAGCCGGCGGGGGCGAGGTGCATGCAGCATCATGTACCTCGCGGTCGAAACTCAGCCTCACGAGTCACCATTGCCTCCGAAACGACTTTGGGAGATGGCCACAGTTTGGCCACAGCCACGTTTGTTCCTCGACCGCCCGCTTCCAATTTGCGTCTAACTGAAAAATGAATCAGAAGTCTAGTCAGCTGTAATCATCTCCGACAACTGCTTCTCCCCCTCTTTCGAGCTCATAGATCTCCTGCCCTCCAAGAAAATCACACGATGCCGACGCATCTCATCGCTTGGTTGGCTCAGCTGGTTAGAGCGCCGGTCTCATATCCAAAATATGAGGGATGACCTGCATCCCGCAATCCGGAGACCACCAGTTCGAACCTGGTACCGAGCATTTATTGACAGCGCCGAAGTCGAGCGTCGCTTGTCGATGCTTTCATTTTCAAATGGGCCTTTGCCGATTGATTATCGTGATCGTAGCCGTGTGTGCGTGATCAACGCTCGATTCCTTTTTTGTGAGTAACTCTTGGTCAATTGCATCCTCCAACTTTGAAGCAACGTATTGACAACATTAAGTTTATGAGTGCAAGGACTTTGAACCGAACATAACTGTGCCGCGCAAGTTATTGCATTATCAGTGACGCCTTGCGACCTTCTTCCAGCTTCGTCACTTTCCACAACTTATCGACGCACGCACTATCGAAGTTTAAGGGTTGGGTATGCGACTCAGCATGAGCGCTTGTTGAAACGAGAATGGGGGTAAATGGTGAAAATGTGCGTCACTATTTCTGCTGCTCCGATCTGGTGTAGAACACTAATCACCAGGACACATGCTGCCTTGGATGTCCCTCGACTATTCAGCCATGAAACATACTGCAATTAAACAGTGAGCGGCTGATAATACTAGCTCACCTGCGCTTGGACTCCATCTTCACTGACAGGCTACAGCTGCTTTTTATTAGTTTCATACAGCCCAATTGCCGTGATCATGATATTCCAAAGTAGGATCGTGCCGTATGTCTAGGCCCGACCTCCTTGGGATAGCTCGCAGCGTCGCTCCAGCCGCTTCACCGCGGCCTCAAGTTCCGTCCGAAGCCCTCACTTGCTCATATAATTTGCGCTGTAAATATTTGAATATTCTTCTACACCCTAGGAAATACGCCAGCATTTGCATCATCTCTTGCGCTAGGATCACTGTCGTCGCCAATCCCACTCTAGAGAGTGGACCCCAAACAGCGACTCACTGTGTCTATCATTATCTCTGGCTAAGTCCCATTCTATAAGCGACGGCCGAAGTGGATCCCATGATTGGCCAGTTGACACGCTTGAATTTCCATCTCGAATCCTGGAGCCTGAGTCCCGATTCATCCTCTGTATGACGAAGCCACGCTCTTTGACTCAGACCCTAGGAGTACTCTTGGGATTACATACGGGGTTCAGTGTCCACGCAAATGACTTCCCTTGCTTCAAAAGAAGCGTTCATGAGCCTCTCTGGGACAGCTACATATATCCTCTTAACCTATACTATTCTTGATGTATGCTATTCTTGATGTATTGTGCAAACTGCACAACGACTCAGATATTGGCTCATGAAATCTGACATTATTCGTATTAAATAGACAATTCGAAACTTATGTTTGAACTACACCTGGAACAAGGTCGCGGGGAGCTGTGGGTACAGTGTGCTTGGTGGCACCGGAATTCAGTGAAAGGGGCGTTTCCAACACTCAGCCGTTTGCAATGATTATAGAGCTCGGCCTGGTGGTGCCCGCGCAGTATCGCGCAGTTACCCTGAGCGACATTCAATATATTTGACAGCGGATGGACAGCGGTATGTCGCGTGTCAGAACACAGGTTTCGGAGATATCTCAGTCAGCCCACAAGGATTAATGATCAAAATTGCAAACCCTAACCTTAGCGCCCCGCAGTACTTGCTCTCAGTGATGACACCCTCATCGTTTCTCCTTTTATTCTCGAGCTTCACTTCTGCACATTGACCTCGAGCTCCTCCATTCACCAGGGCAGATGATGTCCACGAAAAATCCATTTCGGACGCCACATGTCACGCCAAACCCGACTGGCGCCTCGTCGTCAACACGTTCTAGCGGATTAGTTCAGCCCAATCTTCCTCGCATCCAAATCTCCTCAGATGAACCATTCGAGGAGTCACTTCCAACCCCTGGGCCTCCGCCTACTCCACCGCCCGGGACTGCAACAAACTACTTCCCGTCACCAGCTGGGGCCCCGCCATCATCAGGAGAGAGGATATTGGCTGCAGATACCGTGAACGATGAAGAGCCTCCTGCGTACACGATGTCTGCCGATCCCAGGCTGGGGGAATCGACATTGGAAGTTGGACCTCGACGGCCTTTCGCGGCGTCTCATATACAGCCTGGACAGCAGCAACAGCGACAGCAATATGCGCCGCCCCAAGCGCCTCTACCGCAGCAGCGGCACCAACAGTCGTATGCGCAACCGCAAATGCCTGGTAGCTGGTCGCAATACCCTGGACAAGGAGGAGCACCTCGACCCTCACCCACTCCGCAGCCATCAGGGCCTCCTCAAGGTTCTTATGCCTCCTTGAACCGAAGCACATCACACCCCCCACCCCCACGCCATCCGCACTCTCGCAGCAGCATCGAGCTCACCAGCGCTCATGCACCGTCCCCGCCGATATCCGATTTCGCACGCGAGTTTTACGCTGCAGGTCAACAGTACGATCCAGATTCGTCCACGGGGCCTTCTTCCTCCTCTTCCGCGGGCCCATCCAGCTCTACTTCTCCTTCCACTTCGTCGTACGCACCCCCACCCGGTCCTCCGCCCGTTCCTGCGAAAGACTCAGGCCCCCCGCGGAGTGTGCCGCCCAGACCCCAGTCAAGCTCGGGAAGAATGGGAGCGAGCAACGTCGCGGACGACGGGCGCCCGACGAAAGTCCCCACGCCCGGACACCCCCTGTTGTTGAATGGGAAGATGCTGGTGTACCCTGCGAACCACGAGTGTACCAGATGTGCGTTCCTTACCTTGTTCCCTGATCCTTCATCCTTCCATTTCCCATTCTTGCCATTTTGCCATTCGTCCGCACTCCACTTTCCCACTTTCCAGCGCTCGGTACTCAGTACTTGCGTCTTTACACGTTTCATTCATACTAGATGCTTATGTTGATGCTTGCGCTAACATATCTGGTCGATATTCCAGGCAACAACACGGGCTTCAAGAACTTCGACCCCAACAACGCTTGTAACAAATGCTGGGACAAGTACGCCCGCCCATACGCCGGCGCGCTCGCCTACATGCCCTGGCCCTCCGAATCCAACCCCACACCCACCCCTCCCGAATCCAGCCACGGCTCCTCCTTCCAGCGCCCCCTCCCCAAATTCCGCGCGCCCACCAACTCCCGCTCCCCCTCCTCGGCCACGCACTCCCGCGCAGTATCCAACCCCGGCTTACCCCCATCCGCGTCCTCGTCGTACATTCCCCCATATGGCCCCGGCTCCCGTTCGACCCCAACGCGCGGCCAGCCGCGCATCCACGTCGCGAACCAGTGGGGAAACCCTCCGCCCGGCGCGACCGTCGTGCAGCCCGGCGATCCCAGGATCGGGGGCAGACTGTGCGGGAAGTGCAGCGGCTCGGGGATGACGCCGTTTTTGTTCTTTGACGAGGCGACGTGTACGCTTTGTAACGGCGTGGGAAGGGTGTTTGGTGCTTGAGTGGGCCTAGGCGAACGCGGTCGGGACTCGACGAGTGCTCGATGAGTATGCATGGGTTGGGTGTGGATGACTGGTTGGTTTCCCCGAGGGTGGACTTGTTTAGAATCGCGTGTGAGGACTGGGATCGGACTTGTAGATCGACATGTTGTTGTTATATACCTATTGCAGACGCTGCCTCTCCTACTTATTCACTTGTACGTATCATTATACGGTTTACTTATGACCGTGCCCGTAGTATGTATGTATGTATTTTCAGAACTGTCGCGCATGAAGGTTTCAACTTCATTTTCCAGTATGTTATGGACTCACCTCTCAAGGTCTCAATACCATGGTACCTTCCATGTAGCATCCTCGGTATATCAGTTAAGGTGGCGATAGTATCTTTGCTGTTTCTCGGATGTTGGCGTTGGCACGCGAGACAAAATTTGAGTCAAATTTACAATTGGGACCTAACAAGCTCAATACGGACGAGATGTGATTTTGAAACAGTTTAAGGATACGTGTTTAAAGGAATAGACACAAATTAATAGGAACCCCTCAGGAATCAGGATGATATATGGTGGGAGAAATGCCATTTTATGCAGCAACGTTTTCAGCAAACGAGGACCGTGGCGCGGCAATTGCTCTTTGCACCCAACCACGATCACCCGCAGGCGCTCAGTCTGCGCCGCTCAGGAACATGTTCAGGAAAGCAAAATATGTGCTTAAACGAGTAATATGCACACACATTAATTATAGGTAACGCCAAACAATGCCCACGCACGAAATCAAAATTTGACACGAAGTATTTCTCCTCGCCCGCACATGCCCGTTTCAATAGACTGCTAACGGCAGAAGTCTTCCCACAACAGGTTGCCTGCATGTTGTATATTCGTCTAGGATGTTCTACATAGGTACGCCGACAATTCTCGCAACTGGTTCCAATGCCATGGACTTTGACTTGACGTTCGCCGCATTTTTGCCAGCATATGTCCGAGCGATAAGCACTCAAACTTGACTCAAACACACAACTCAATTCAAGACTCGGCTCATCGGTGATCTATAACATGGAGTCCACACGCTGCGCAAACTTGAAGGTAAACGATCGCGTCAATCTCAAGGGAGGTTTGAAACGCCATCTCTCAACGCTCAATACACAATCCTAGCAGGTATTTTCTCGGGAAAACATGTGTTCTACATTCTTAGGTAAAAACGTACATGGCTCGTCGCATCTGCCATGTTCCAACCCGGAGATGCCTGGCTATCGCGTACTTGTACGGGGCGAGACTCGCCCCTGCTGTGAGGGTTAAATCGAGGCGGGAGGATTCAGTAACGGATCACTGCTATGCAACTCTGCTCGCGGGACGTGCTGGGCCGTGCCGCCGACGTGGAGCCGGAGCAGAGATCGCTATTCTGCGTCATCCCGCTCTACCGCCGAGACACCGTAGCTTCCAGTACTCGCACGCAATGTCAACGGCTGCACGTATAACGCCACTGATCGGGCTTTAATCCAGGGATGAATTCGGTGGTCCAAACAAGGTCGTGCTGGCTCAGGCTGTGATTTAGCAGCTAAGCGTAATCCCTTCGCCTTCAGACTCTCTAGCAACCAGTCAAACGTCAACTCAATCAACGGACTGCCTTCCTCGCACGCCCTTCCGCCCACATGACAATATCTGGACTTGACAGCCGCTCCATTTCCACTTGCCAC